CTCTGCTCAAAGGGGTTATATACATTTGTTTGTTTTTTTAATTAGAATAATAAAAAGGTTTAGACTGATCTGCTCTGTGCAATGGTATTGAACAAATGGGACCCTGATCCTCCTCTTCTGGGGTCTCACACCAGTGATCTAGACTCTTCCTCTTCTCTGTGTGGCGCCATTGGAATATTGTTCCTATAGTGGCACATGTGCAGGTGCACTCACAAACCATTCATACACACACACACACACACACACACACACACACACACACAGTGCAGCTCAAGCCAGCCCCCTGCACTCTGCTCACAGGATTTGATTGGTTGCAGCAGGAGCCAATGGTTCCTGCTGCTGCCTTTCTGAGCTGTGAGAGAGGAGAGAGAGCTGCTACAGATGGGCACAGCAATGGGGGCGATGCTAATACTGGGACATTTTTACTCTTAATGCAGGGAACGCATTAAGGTAAATAATGTTTTCCCTTTAGAAACATTTTATTGTAAACTGACCTTGATGGCAAGCACAAAAGCACATCTGTGCCTCTGTGGACAGTTTGTGTCCATTGACTTGCTATTTGGAGGTACAGGGTGCCATGCTTATGCATGGCATGCCTGCAGTTCCTGTAGTCTGTCTTCCATGCACCCTGCCCAACTTTGCCTGGTCGACGGGAGCTCCAAGCGGGACCCTCACTGTCATGCCACAATCAGCCTGTAGGAGGAGTGTGAGCACAGAAAGGAACATCCTCCTGGATAGCAACATTAGTCCTTGGAACACAGCGTACACAAATGAGAATGTACTTCTCTGCTGTGTGTGTGACAAAATATAATACCCGTGCTGTGCATTGGAAGAACTAAAGTAAAGAAGGCTTTGCAGTCACATGATGACAAAATAAACCTAAAAAAAAGGTGCTTTCCAAATTCATTTTTAGAAATAATAAATGCAGTTGTAAAGTAAGCACTCTGTTTGCTGTAGTATCATAAGATTCTGTTTACATGCATTCACATATCCTTTTAGGTATTTTTTTACAGTTTAATTTAACAAAAATATATGATGTTGTACTAAAAAATAAATACACAACTGCATTCATCTGCCTGAAGTTTAGCTGTTTTGGGGCTATATGCCCATATCCTACATATCACTGCTCATTGCACTTACTAAAAAAGCCCTGTTGTAGCTTCTGCATTAATAAGATCATTTCCTTTATGGAAAATGTGTTAGCCTTTAACAGACATGTATATGTGAATTCAGGATCGATAGGATCAATGCACTATTTTATGCCATGATTATTGTCATTTCAAGGCATCACCACATATAAATAGCAACAAAGACACATTTGCACAACCAATAAATCACAATAATATGTTTTACTGACCATACTTATGGCTGCTAAGACTTTTATTCATAAATAGTAAAGAAAATAAAAAAGAATGTTTATGTACAGGCACACTCTTGTGTGTAACATTTCCTTTGTGTCAATCAAGTACGACATCTCCTGTAGTACAAAATGAGTTAAAATACATTGGGGGGCATATTTTAAGTGGGAGCACTTAGTGAAATGTAAAATGTATTAGTTTACATGTCTTCAGCATCTGGTCAACTGATTTAAGGATTACAACATGTATCTGATAGCATGCTTTGCATTGCAAATTTGTCACTTTCCCTGTTACCCTGTAATTATGCTGTTGATAACAAAATGAGACCTCTTTGGTCATATGTTCAGCTTCTTCTATTGATTTACACGATTCATGCGTATTTGTAAATGAACCCAATATCTATGCCTGCACAACCATTTAAATATTAACTTATTAAGTCTTAGATAAGGATTTACACTGGATTTTACTTTATAATCCAGAAACTAAGATAGACTTGATGCGGGATTGTAGCTCTAACCTTTAACTATTAGGAAAGTGTTGTTAACTGAGAGTAGACCCTATTTTCTTGGATATTCTTTTTTCATTAATAATAATAATTACTAATTATTATATAGCACCATCATATCTGTGATGTTGTGCAAATTTTAAATAAGGGTATTTGGCTCAAGAGTATTTAACTCAGTTGTTAGCCACATTGGCTTACAACTGATATGATCCAGAAATATTTAAACAGAATAAAGGTGAATAAAGCACCTGGACCGGATGGCATACACCCACAGGTCCTTAAAGAATTGAGCTCTGTCATTTCAAAGCCATTGCTTCTAATTTATAGGGACTCCTTAAAGACTGGCATAGTTCCACTGGAGGGCCAATGTGGTGCCTATATTTGAAAAGGGGTCAAAATATGTACCAAGTAATTATAGACTTGTTAGTTTAACATCTATAGTTGGGAAGATACTGGAGAGTTTAATAAAAGATCACATAGATGAGTTCTTGCTGGAAAAAATATTTGAAGCAACAGACAGCATGGATTCATAAAAAAGAGAAGTTGTCAAACAAATCTGATTTCTTTTTATGAGGAGGCGAGCAAAACCTTGGATATAGGGATGGCTGTGGACGTGGTATACTTGGATTTTGCAAAAGCGTTTAACACAGTTCCCCATGTACTGTTAATGTGTAAGGTAAAGTCTACAGGCTTGGAAAAATCAGTATGTAAATGGATAAAAAAACTGGCTAAAAGATCGTATTCAGAGCATAGTGGTTAATGATTCATACTCTGAATGGTCTGGGGTCATCAGTGGTGTACCCCAAGGTTCAGTGTTGGGACCCTTACTTTTTATTATATTTATAAATGATATATGGTCTGGGATTAAAAATAGCATTTCAGTCTTTGCAGATGACACCAAGCTGTGCAGTGGAATAACGTCCTTACAGGATGTCTCCAACTTACAAGCCGACCTCAATGCACTGTTTAATTGGGCAACTATGTGGCAAATGAGGTTTAATGTTGATAAACGTAAGGTTGTACACTTGGGGACTATCAATATACATGCATCATACATACTAGGGGGGGTACAACTGGGGGAATCAACGATGGAGAAGGATCTGGGAGTTCTGATGCATCATAAGCTTAATAATAGCATGCAATGCCAAGCTGCGGTTTCTGAAGCGAGCAAAATCCTCTCTTGTATTAAGAGGTATAGACTCCAGAGAGAGAGATATCATATTACCCCTGTACAAATCATTAGTAAAACCTCATCTGGAATGTGCAGTTCAGTTTTGGGCACCAATTCACAAAAAGAACATTGGGGAACTGGAGAAAGTACAGAGAAGGGCAACCAAACTGATAAGAGGCATGGAGGAGCTCAGCTGTGAAGAAAGATTAGAGGAACTGAATTTATTCTGCCTTGAGAAGAGGAGATTAGGGGGGATATGATCAACATGTATAAATACATCAGTGGTTCATATAGTGAACTTGATGTAGGTATTCACCCTGAGGTCATCACAGACGACAAGGGGGCACTCTTTACGTCTGGAGGAAAAGCGATTTAATGTCCAAATACAGAAAGTTTTCTTCACAGTAAGAGCTGTGAAAATGTGGAATAGACTCCCTCAAGAGTTGGTTCTGGCCAGCTCAGTGGATTGCTTTAAAAAAGGCCTGGATTCTTTCCTATATACACATAATATAACAGGTTCCTAACATTTATAGGTAAAGTTGATCCAGGGACTATCTGATTGCCTTTCGGGGGATCAGGAAGAAATTGTTTCCCATGCAGGAGCAAATGGGATCATGTTTTGCTGGGTTTTTTGCCTTAATCTGGATCAACTGTGGGTATAGGATTAAAACTGTTTTTTTATGGTTGAACTGGATGGACTTTTGTCTTTTTTCAGCCAGACTAACTATGTAACTATGTATTTAATACAGGTAGTACAAATACATTTAAAAATGGAAACAAGTAACCTGAAAGCGCACACCAAAAGGTAAAAAACAAGTTATAAGTCTACAGCATGGAATTTTCCTTTTACTAACATACAGTATACATTTTTCTTTGTACCTGTATATTATAAACACATTGTATTAGCAAAATTTCATCTTCTTACAAGTTTATAATCTACAGCAAAAAGGAGCAGAAAAAAGTGGTATGGGGACAATTTATATATGATGTATCAGTTTACAGTGAGGCTCTCACCAGATACTATAGGAGCAAGCAAAGAGATGGAATAAAAAAGAAAACTTCAAATCATGTTATTTACTTGTCTGAACAGTGGTGTATAAGGGTGTTTAAAGGTTTTTCGAATGTTGAGTGATAAGAGGTAGGAGTTCCAGTTAAGGGAAGAGACACAGGAGGAGTCTTTTTAAGTGGAGACATAAAGAGGTGACCAGGGTAGAGAAGGCTGGCTTGGTCTTGGGAAAGTAATATAGTTTGCAAATTTTGCAGCAAAAACTATAGCTAGCAGAAGCTACAGAAAGATAATGCTATTAACATAAAATTACAAACTGACTTGCGTAGCAATTATATACATGATGAGATTGTTCTTTTAAGAATGTTTTCTTGGCCACTCCATGCCACTACTATCAAAATAACAATGGTTACGATAAGAGATTAGCGAATCGAACTCGGCGAAGTGGAATTCGTTTTGAATATTAGGAAAATTTCGATTCCACCGAATCCGAAAATTAGCAGACTTCGGATGCGCGAATCGAAATTTTTCCAAAAATGGCGGCGACATGTGCGGCGACGAGAGCGGGGATCTCTGGGAAGGCGCGCAGACAAGGCGCGCTGACCCATAATGCATTCATTCATGACATGTGATCGCATTAGCCAATCAGCAGCCAGCCAGCCAGCACTGTGTAATGGTGGAGCTATAAATTGCGGCCATCTTACAATTCTCCATTTGCCTCTGGTCATTCAAGAGAGACAGACCTCTCTGTATTAGGGACACAGAACCGTTACTGAGGGACAGACACAGAATTGTTACTTAGGGACACAGAACCGTTACTGAGGGACAGACACAGAATTGTTACTGAGGGACAGACACAGAATTGTTACTCAGGGACAGACACAGAATTGTTACTCAGGGACAGACACAGAATTGTTACTCAGGGACAGACACAGAATTGTTACTCAGGGACAGACACAGAATTGTTACTCAGGGACAGACACAGAATTGTTACTCAGGGACAGACACAGAATTGTTACTCAGGGACAGACACAGAATTGTTACTCAGGGACAGACACAGAATTGTTACTGAGGGACATACACAGAATTGTTATTGAGGGACAGACACAGAATTGGTACTGAGGGACAGACACAGAATTGTTACTGAGGGACACAGAATTGTTACTGAGGGACACAGAATTGTTACTGAGGGACACAGAATTGTTACTGAGGGACACAGAATTGTTACTCAGGGACAGACACAGAATTGTTACTGAGGGACACAGAATTGTTACTCAGGGACAGACACAGAATTGTTACTGAGGGACAGACACAGAATTGTTACTCAGGGACAGACACAGAATTGTTACTGAGGGACAGACACAGAATTGTTACTCAGGGACAGACACAGAATTGTTACTCAGGGACAGACACAGAATTGTTACTCAGGGACAGACACAGAATTGTTACTCAGGGACAGACACAGAATTGTTACTCAGGGACAGACACAGAATTGTTACTCAGGGACAGACACAGAATTGTTACTGAGGGACATACACAGAATTGTTATTGAGGGACAGACACAGAATTGGTACTGAGGGACAGACACAGAATTGTTACTGAGGGACACAGAATTGTTACTGAGGGACACAGAATTGTTACTGAGGGACACAGAATTGTTACTCAGGGACAGACACAGAATTGTTACTGAGGGACACAGAATTGTTACTCAGGGACAGACACAGAATTGTTACTGAGGGACAGACACAGAATTGTTACTCAGGGACACAGAATTGTTACTCAGGGACACAGAATTGTTACTCAGGGACACAGAATTGTTACTGAGGGACACAGAATTGTTACTCAGGGACACAGAATTGTTACTCAGGGACACAGAATTGTTACTCAGGGACACAGAAATGTTACTGAGGGACACAGAATCGTTACTGAGGGACAGACACAGAATCGTTACTCAGGGACACAGAATCGTTACTCAGGGACACAATCGCTACTCAGGGACACAGAATCGTTACTCAGGGACACAGAATTGTTACTCAGGGACACAGAATTGTTACTCAGGGACACAGAATTGTTACTCAGGGACACAGAATTGTTACTCAGGGACACAGAATCATTGAATTAAAGAGTATGTCAGACAACATGCAGAGGAGTGGCAGAGGAGGCAATGTTTTAGGAGCGAGCAGACATGGCAGCAGAGGAAGGGGTCGAGGCAGCACTAGTCGCAGCCAGAGGCCAGTGCTCCCGGTGTCATCCAGCGGTCGTGTCTCCACCGACAACCCTGCCGTCATCGATTGGTTGGCTCGGTCGTCTTCCTCTTCCCAGGTCACCTCTGACACCTACAGCCAACGGTCGGTGGGTACGTCAGACACAACCGTTAGTTGGCATGGCCCGGGAGCAAGCCCACTGAAATCACGTGTCCTCTACCTGCCCCTGTCCTTTGGTGTTCCCTCACCAAGCAAAGTATCGCATGCTGTGGGCTCAGCCCCACTGTACAGTGAGGAAGAGCTAACAGAGGGCGGTCAGGAACGGGGGGACATCCGCCTCTTCAGCAGCCAGGCGAAGAAGTACTGGCGAGGAGAGTGGCTCGGTAGCCGGTCTAGAGACAGGTCTGTCTCCTGACCCACACGCAGCCGAGGGGGCTAGTAGTGAGGCGGAGACCCTAATTGATGATGATGAGGCTGATCGCACTTGGCAGCCTCGTCGTCATCAGGCTATTGCTTCCGCATCATCAGGAGAAGAGGGTGCCAGCTTGGCAGCGAGCAAAACAGTCGGTGGGTTGCCCAGGAGGCAGCAGGGTCGCAGCAGTGTCAGTGGAGGCAAACGGCCACGGAGTAGAGCACCGCTCCACTGCAGCCTACCACCACGCCAGTAGTGGTGCCGGTGTGCACGGAGGAAGTAGCAGTCAGCCAGTGAGGAGTAGCGGGGGCAAAGTTTCCTACTCGGCGGTGTGGCAATTTTTCGTCAAGCCGCCCGAGGAAGTAAACGTAGCCGTATGTCGACTATGTGGCCAGAAAGTCAAGCGTGGCCAGGGGGCCCATGTTGGGACTACAGCGTTGCGTCAGCATATGCAGCGTCACCATTTGGTGGCCTGGGAAAACCGTGATAAAGATACGGCAGTTCTGCCTGCCCCAGCCCCCGCTCCATCACCCGCTCCGTTACTTGCTCCGTCACCCGATGTCAATCGCCCTCTATCAGCCAGTCAAGGCTCCAACACCTCTGCTGAGGGGAGTTGTCGCTCGTTGGCATCTTCCGCTCGTTCAGATGCTCCTTCTCCTGCTACTCCTCTTCACGTATTCCGTCAGCAGTCTTTCTTGGAATCCGTTTCAAAGAGACAACAGTTTGCGAGCACGCACCCGACGGTGCAAAAGCTGAACGTCCTCCCTGGCCAAGTTGCTGGTGCTGCAGTCCCTCCCTTTCCAAGTGGTGGACTCAGCACCTTTCCGAGAAATGATGGCTTGTGCCGCGCCGCGGTGGAGAGTGCCAAGCCGTCATTTCTTCGCCAAAAAGGCAGTGCCAGCCCTGCATTCACATGTAGAAGAGATGGTGGGCCAGTCTTTGAGCATGTCGGTCTCTGCCAAAGTGCACGGCAGCGCCGACGTGTGGAGCTGTAACTACGGTCAGGGACAGTACATGTCATTTATGGCCCACTGGGTGAACGTGGTGCCGGCACAGCCGCACCAGCAACTTGGACAGGTCACGCCGCTTTTGCCTCCACGTTTGCACGTCCTTGGTCCAGCAAAGATGTCCGCCTCTACCACCTCTTCTTCCTTCGTGTCCTCAGCCGCCACCCCCCCCGTGCCAAGTCCCATTACATGACCGGCATATCACATGTGCAAGGCGCAACGGTGTCACGCTGTGCTGCACCTGGTATGCCTTGGCGAACGTAGTCACACAGGGGAGGAACTTCTGAGTGTAATGAACAGAGAAATCGACAGATGGCTGTCTCCGCGCAAACTGAAAATCGGAACCATGTTGACCGACAACGGAAAGAACATGGTGTCTGCTCTGCGTCAAGGAAGGTTGTGCCATGCGCCATGCATGGCTCACGTGTTCAATCTGGTTGTCAAGCGGTTCCTAAAATCCACCATCCCACTGCAAGACATCCTTAAAATGTCACGTAAACTTTGCATGCATTTCAGCCATTCCTACACCGCAAAGCACACCCTCCTTGAGCTGCAGCGGCAGAACGGAATTCCACAGCATCGCCTGATCTGCGACGTTGCAACAAGGTGGAATTCAACCCTACACATGTTAGACCGCCTTTACGAACAGCGAAAGGCCATCACCGATTTCCTGATGTTACAAGCGGATAAAGGTACTCCCCTGTGTAACTTCAATGTCAGCCATTGGCAGCTCATGCGTGACACCTGCCGCTTGCTCAGGCCCTTTGAGGAGGCCACGCTATTCGTGAGTCGGCAGGACTATGGGATGAACGACGTCATTCCTCTGTTGCACGTCCTGGAACAAATGCTGTTAACAATGGCTGGTCAGGGTGCGGTAGACGTGGCGCACAGATCTCAACGCCACATGACCCCTGTGGGGGCAGGACAGGAAGAAGAGGAGGAGGTAGAGGAGGACATTGGTGCTCAGGAATTATTGAGTGAAATGGGTGGTTTTTTCTACCCAGCGGACAGGAGTGGAGGAGCAGGAGCATCTGGTAGAGGAGGAGGAGGAGACAGAGGACCCAGACGCACCGTGGCAGTATGCTGTGGAGATGGAGGCAGGGAGTCCCTCGCATTCCTTGGCACAAATGGCCCATAGCATGCTCGGTTGCTTGCGTAGCGACAGCCGAATAATAACCATCAGACAGAGGGATGACTTTTGGCTGTCCACCTTGTTGGACCCTCGCTACCTTTCAAAAATGGTGGCCTTTTTCACACCTGCTGAGAGGGAGGCCAAAATAACGTACTATAAAAACCACCTATGTAGTCAGTTGGTCTCTGCCTTTGTGCGCCAATGTCCATCCTCAGACACTGTGGGCCCTGTGCGCTCGCGTTCCGCTGCCATGGCAGCAGGGGAGGGGTGGGGTGGTAGGAGCAGTGGCAGCTCCACCAGCAGCGGCTGCCACAGTCTGCAGTCGATGATGAGTAGCTTTCTTCACCAGCGCAGTGAGGAAACTACTAACCAGCCGCAGCAGCAGCAGCATCAGGTGGACCTGGAGCAGGACCTCAAACAACAGGCTTTGGGCCTACTTGGACAGCACCCTGCCAACCGAGGTAGACAATCCCCTTGACTACTGGGCAACGAAACTTGACCTTTGGCCCCAACTAGCTGAATTTGCCCTTGAAAGGCTGTCATGCCCGGCCAGTAGCGTGGCATCGGAGCGCGTGTTTAGTGCGGCAGGAGGTATTGTAACTCCGCGGAGGACACGACTGTCCACCCAAAGTGTGGAGAGACTCGCGTTTGTGAAAATGAATCAGGCGTGGATTAGTCTGGATTTCAAACCACCAGTTCCTGACACAACTGACTAAATCCGCCATGAATCATGCCCCAAACATGTGCCACTTTCAGGTCTCCTCACACTGCTGGTGTGTTCCATTTTGTCATAGGGTGCTGGCAGATTACGGGCCTCCCATTGCTGCTGCCAGGCTCGTAATCTGCCATGGGCCCCCGTACCGCCTCCTCCTCATGCTGCTGCCAGGTCCAGAGTCTCTCATGGGTCCCTGTACGGCCTCCCATTGCTGCTGTCTCCATCGCCACACTCTGCCATGTGCCACTTTCAGGTCTCCTCACACTGCTGGTGCTGTCCATTTTGTCATAGGGTGCTGGCAGATTACGGGCCTCCCATTGCTGTTGCCAGGCCCGTAATCTGCCATGGGCCCCCGTACCGCCTCCTCATGCTGCTGCCAGGTCCAGAGTGTCTCATGGGTCCCTGTACGGCCTCCCATTGCTGCTGTCTCCATCGCCACACTCCGCCATGTGCCACTTTCAGGTCTCCTCTCACTGCTGGTGGGTTCCATTTTGTCATAGGGTGCTGGCAGATTACGGGCCTCCCATTGCTGCTGCCAGGCCCGTAATCTGCCATGGGCCCCCGTACCGCCTCCTCATGCTGCTGCCAGGTCCAGAGTGTCTCATGGGTCCCTGTACGGCCTCCCATTGCTGCTGTCTCCATCGCCACACTCTGCCATGTGCCAATTTCAGGTCTCCTCACACTGCTGGTGGGTTCCATTTTGTCATAGGGTGCTGTATGGCCTCCCATTGCTGCTGCCAGGCCCGTAATCTGCCATGGGCCCCCCCGACTCCTCATGCTGCTGCCAGGCCCGTAATCTGTCATGGGCCCCTGTACCGCCTCCTCATGCTGCTGCCAGGTCCAGAGTGTGTCATGGGTCCCTGTACGGCCTCCCATTGCTGCTGTCTCCATCGCCACACTCTGCCATGTGCCACTTTCAGGTCTCCTCACACTGCTGGTGGGTTCCATTTTGTCATAGGGTGCTGTATGGCCTCCCATTGCTGCTGCCAGGCCCGTAATCTGCCATGGGCCCCCGTACCGACTCCTCATGCTGCTGCCAGGCCCGTAATCTGTCATGGGCCCCTGTCCCCGCCTCCTCATGCTGCTGCCAGGTCCAGAGTGTGTCATGGGTCCCTGTACGGCCTCCCATTGCTGCTGTCTCCATCGCCACACTCTGCCATGTGCCACTTTCAGGTCTCCTCACACTGCTGGTGGGTTCCATTTTTGTCATAGGGTGCTGTATGGCCTCCCATTGCTGCTGCCTCCACCGCCACACTGTGGCTCCACACTCTGGTTTTGGCCCCGTGACTGCCCAAATGAGTGAAGTGTGCGGTGATTCTAAGATCGAAGGCACTCATCTGCATGTCATACTGACTGACAGTATTATTTCTCTTCCCCAGCAGACTCCAAGGGCATTTAAATTAAAGGTACAGTGTTCTGCACTAATATAAAGGCTCTCTGAAGCCTAGAAACACCCTTTTATATAAGTTAAATTCGCAGCGAATATATTCGCCTCGACTCGAATTTATTCCTCGAATTCGCCGAATCAGCCGAATCAAATTTTTGAATACTTCGCTCATCTCTAGTTACGATAGTGACTGAAAAAAAAACCCCATACAGTAATACTTTAGGAAGTATTTTATGGTCATTTGGGAATAACATATGAAGTTATAAAGTTGTTAGCAACCTTATTAACCTTATTATTAAAGTACATTATTTGATACACAGCAAAACACCAAAAATATATAACACAACAGTGACCAACCAGACCAGGGCTCATATATTTATATTTATAGTATGGTGAAGACAAAGGATGATTTCTGACTGCTTACTGTGAATTAAGGTTTTCTGCTGTCTTTTCCACTACAGTATTTATAGGAAACCTGTAGTTGGTGTATGGAGGTTGTCACTCATACAAGACCTTGCCTTCTGGGAACATGAATTCCCTAGCTGTCATGGCAATCCAGTGGCTTTATTACTTTCCAAGTTAGGACAAATTCAATTTAGGGCTTTTGACTTCACTCTTTTTTCTATTCTGCATGCTATTGTCAATGTCATATTAACAACAGTAGCAGTCAGGCAACTAGATTTTTCAGGGAGGTTGGCAATGGCAGCCTATACAGCACAGGTTTTCTTTAAATAAGATGAATATATATGGATTGATCATCAAGCAAACTATATAATGGACAGATAGGACAATGTAACCCATTTTGAGAACTCAAAAAAAGGAAAAGGATTTTCCTGTGGTCTTGCCACTCCATGCTGATTGCATAGCCAAGGTAGCAGGGAGTCACATGCATCCAAGATCCTAATGTTTTTTGTGGCAGTCGTCCACTGCTGTGGGCTGTAAATGCCGATACTTGTAGGCATGCTATGCATGAGCGTGGTAACCCAGTGGAAGTGTCCCTGCTACAGTGACAACACGGTAATGGCTTTTTAAGCCACTGAGTTATACGTTATCAATTTAGAACAGGAAATGACATTCACAAAGAAATAAGTGCTTGGATCTGAAGGTAATGTTTCATTAACCAGCAGAAAAAAAAAATAAACAGATTATATAGAATTGACTTGTTGAATTTAAATTTTGTGATTGACATACTTTTTCAAGTGCACCTGTGCCCAGAATGTAGACATCAATGTATTTACATATTTTTAACAAGCAGTAAAGAAAATCTTTAAACCAAGTCATTCCTGACATCTATTTCCTTGCACTGTGAAATAGTTCAAATATACAACAGAAACTCTAAAGTTGAGTTTCACTTGGTATCTGGAAGCTTCTATTAGCTTTTTATTTTTTTTAGAAGGCTTGCAGCCATCCAAGAGTCTGGTGTAATAAAATGCATAAGTGAAAGGAGTTGTGATTTCAATGCCTCTGTTGTGAATTTTGAGGATTAATAGCCTATAGCTACAGGAGGTAAATCAGTGATTGCTTAAAAATGCTTTGAATGCTTATTAAGAACATATAAATACTTTATTACGAATAATCCAGTCACATGGTTTCTTTAATCCTGCTGACATTTCTTTACAGTGTAACATTTTAGTGTTAGTGTACCATACCTGAAAATCTTCTGAACCATTTTGGCTTGTTATCCCAGATGACAAAGAGGTAGTAAGCTGGCACTCCTGTGAGAGTAATTGCAAACCCAATCCCAGTGCTTAAAGGTTCTGAATATAATGACAGAGTAATCATAAATAGGCAGGTGAAGGAAAACAATGCTGGAATAAAAATGGGAACCTGAAAATAAACAATAAACAAATTTAGACTCATTTTTCCAAAATATATTAGAGGCAATAGAGAAAGGCAAGATTACAGTGGCTATTGGTGTTTTCGTAAGGGTGCAATAGTCTTTAAATGTGTATAATATAAATAGTTGGTGTTTTGGGCACAGGGTTACCAAGGAGAAGTGCAAGCAAGTCGGTCCCATACTTTTATTCAGCAAGGCAGTACACAAACAGTTTAATGCAGCAGGGCTTTGCAAAGCCCTCTTGCACAAAACCAAACACCACATCTGCTCATCTGAGACACTATCTAAAAATATTTTGGCTCTATACTAAAATGGTGCCCTGTAATGGGTTCCTCGAAACAAACAAGCAGCACTAATACTTTTTTAGTGTTCTGTCAACAGTCAACCTTTCTTCCCAGCAGCAGAGTAAAATAGATCACTGAGAATCAGTCAGCTGAGACATAAAAGGCCTGTGGACAGTTGAGACTATATAATGAGGTAAGATGTGGACATGGAGATGGAGATGGAGGCTGTATATATATTTAGGTGGGCTAAAGCTCTACAAAGCCTCTAGGCTCCTGGACTTAGAGCAGAAACTATTGTTATCTGCTACTCACTATGTGTGGGTCATAAACCTAGGTAACACATATAAACTGTCCACAACCCTGCCAGCAAGTATCTTGTAATAGTAATAATTATATATAATACAATACATATGTAATATGTAATTCTGAACAGAACTTTTGTGAGTTTGATAAGTAACATGCATAGTTACTAATTACCCAGTAATTTAAAAGTAATAATTAGAACACAACATATATACATGAAAACACATCACATGTACCATGCTTTAGTGAAATAGCCCTGTAGTTTTTCCTTCCAAACCATATTAATAAACAAGTTGTGGCATAAAGAGATTTTCTGCGTGTGATGACAGACAGACAGACAGACAGACAGACAGACAGACAGACAGACAGACAGACAGACAATCTGCTCAGATGTCAAACCAAGTACACATCACAGGTTCTTAAGAAACAGAATAGTATGGCTAATAAACATGAATATACCAAAAATAATGTACAGCAAAAGGGGTTTGAAGGTAAAACTGTATAATATAATTCAAAATATTTCTAGCATAAATAATCATGGTTTCTAGTAAACCAGCTTGGCATGCTTTGAAATATTAGCTTTGGGTATCATCATTCAAACACAGGTTTTGAACCACTGACGTATTGTGACTATAGCTTGGATGAGAATATGCTAATAAAGAAGTTTCAACCATCTTGTGCTAGATCATTTATGGCCCGCAAAGGCTGTAAATCATTAAAAAATAAAATATTCATAAATATGAGCCATTTCTTTCTACTTACAAAGAGCAGAAACATAAAGTTTCTCTGTCTAAGTCAGAGTTGTGTAAGATACAAAATAGCATGCATGCCAAAACTCCAGCCAAAACAATTCAAGCCATTTCAAAGAAGTTGTCCATTGCAGTTGCTTATATGAGAGACCACATATAAGTTGGTGATACACAATCTCCTTCAATCTCCTGTGACACTGAGAGGTTCAGCATAGCGTATAAAGATTAATGTCAGACAGAGACAGAGGTGAGCCTACCTTGAAAGGGCGATGCATCTCAGGTCGTTTGTATCGCAGATAAATGAGTCCAGCAACAGATAGGCCAATAAAAAGCCATCGAGGAAAGCTCAGGAAATTCAAAAGGCTGTAGATATCCCCAGTGAAAAGCATTACCATTGTTAGAGGTTGCTGCAAAATAGAATTTTTTTGTATTATGGAATGAGTTTTTAAGCCCAGTAAGTGAATACAGCAGTTACAACCACATCTGCTAAGAAGTGTGTTAGGTGATAGATATAGAACAACATTTGATTGCCTTTTTATTTTGCTGATTATTTAAAAATTAATATCACAAATGTAAAAGAGAAATATCCATCAGAAAGGTTTTTTTCAGTATTGAATGGGCACTTGCTTGTATCTTTCCCACACTTGTGGGGTATTCTTCTGAGTAAAATGTGGGTAGAACTGCTACAATAACAGTGCTATATCAGTTTTGGCTTGGCTTCACCCTTAACCATAAATTTCAATGATATGCAGTAATTTAAATTTGTATTTATTTATTTCCTAGATTGTAAGCTTGAAAGAGCAGGGCCCTCGAACCCCTCGTGTATTGTCTTGTTACTGTATTGTCTCATGTTCTGTCCCCACTATAATGTACAGTGCTGAGCAAACCTTTCTGGCGCTATATAAATACTGTATAATAATAATAATAATAATAATAAAAAGTTTGTGAAAGCTGAACTCCATGCACAATACAATCACCATTATTCAGCACATCCCATAAATATATTGTATCCATAGCTACTCCTCCACTACCAAAAAGTGCATTTTCTGACTGGCACTATCACCATTTCTAGTTGTATAAACCAATCTTCGCTGCTTGCTTTTTTCCAGTATGGTAACCAGACTCCTCACCTCCCTCTCTGCAGTTCTACAGAAGGAGCAAGGAGCAGTAATGTTATCAGGTGGAGACCATGGGCAGGAGCGGTTGCTGTGTTGTCAGTGGAACACTCCTAACTTCAGCAGCTGAAGGATCATCACAGGGGTTAAGCAGAGAAAATTAAACAACCCCGGGATAAGGTAATTAAAAAAAAAAAAAAAAAAAAAAAAAAAAAAAGATTAAAATGTTATGATGGCTTGTTTTGTACTTAATTATGTTAAAAAATAAATAAACTCTTTAAAAAAAAAAAAAAAAAAAAGGGAGATAAATGTATTAAATGTTTAAGCACTGTCCAGAGAAAAGTTTTACATCCTTTCTTTCTGTTTTTATGCATGCTTTTTAAAAAGAAAATATGTAATACATGACACAGAGCAGCACTGATTTTCTAAAGAGAAAGCATATCAGAAGCTGTTTGCCTTCGGACTTCTGACTGAAGCTTCTAATGGAGCAATTTGAACACAGTAAGGCCTCATGTACACTGCTTTTGCGTTTTGGAGCTTTTGACGTTTTTGCTCTTGTTCAATAAAAGCCTATGGGGTTTATTTACTAAAGTTGGAGAGTGCAAAATCAGACTCACGTCTGCATAGAAACCAATCAGTTTTTAAACTCAGCTTGTTCAATTAAAGTGTTACAAAATCCAGGACCCTGTATTCATTATATCTGGTCTCCCGTAGTACACAAAACATGGAAATACAATTATTTTATTAAATATAAACTGCTAAATATCTTTTCCCATCAGCTGTTAGAGCAATCTTGTGACTTTTATCAGTGCCCAGCAGAGCACTGGTTACAGCTTGTAGGAGGAGTTTTCTCTAGGAGAATGCAGAACCTGCTGATTGGTCCTGTGCTTATCACATGCACTCTCCCAAGAAAAAAAAAAACCTCTCTAGCAATACACACTAAACTGAGCATGTGCAGAAGGGCTAGGGGTTCAGTGTGTCTAATCAGCTTGGGCATTTAAACAAGAGGAGGGGCAGAGAAGTTAGGATCAAACAGCCTTTTTAAACAATGCAGAGGAGTAACCCCTTAGGTTCCACAGTGAATATAACAAGCATGCTTTACTGCATACACAGACTGATTTTACTGTTGTGGGTTTAGTAACACCTTAAGCTTTGGCATTAAAACCTGGAAGCTGACTGGTTTCTTTGCAGAAGTTATCCTATTTTTGCACTCTCCAGCTTTAGTAAATAAACCCCTCTGTATCCATACACACATAGGCTTTTACCAGAGTTTAGAAGTGGCAAAGTTTAGGGGCAGTTAAATGTCCCTCTCCTGAACTTAGAAGAATCAGGTTCAGGAGAGGAACGTTTTGAAAAAACACAATGCAGCAAAATTGCATGTAAACATGCCTAAGTGCTAGCCACATTTAGCACTTGGGTGTTTACTCATTTCAGTGGAAAGTACTCTGGCCAATGAAATGAATGAATGTCCAAGCCTAATTGTGGCTAAATGCGATACCGCGTTTACACATGCTTTTGCTGTGTTTAGCATTTTTCTGCTGCCAGTAGCGTTAATGTCCAAAGACAGTTCCAGTGTATATGTAACCTAAGAGGGAGTGTGATTGCAATTAAAAAAATGTCACCACAGCTCATTTTATTGAGCAATTAAATGCTTTTTTCACTAATGGTTGCCAATGAGAATTAAAGATAAGATGCATTTTCAAAACAGTTATAGCTCTCTGTGTCACATAGTTAATCAAATGACTGTAAACCTGAACTGTATTCATCCTCTTAAAGCAAATTCTGCTGGCAAGGTATTCTCACTTTCTCAACTAGAAAAATCATATTTTGCCCCTTGTATGCTTATCAACCCAACCAATAACAGAGAAATAATAGACAGTATAAAATGCAAAATGCTTGTCAGGGCTCTGTCCACAGCAGAGGTACTCGGAGACCTGGCATTCCTGCCAGTATTTTGCATGGCCGCAGAAATTCACGCTGGCGAAAGTCTATGCACATTGGCGCACGAGCCGGAACACACATGCGCACTGGGGCATAGTTACGCATGCATTAGCTCAGTTTGGCGCCAGACAGCCTTTATAAGAGGGTCCATCACTCCCTCAAATTTTTGGTTGATGTCTGGCTCCCCAGTATCTTTGTGTTCCCTTGCTACTGTGATCTGCTGTAACCGATTTGGCTTGTTCCTGGACCTGTCTTCTCTCCCTGAATCCTGATCTGATTCTGGCTTGGCTAATAGATATTCTCACCTGATCTCCTGATCTGACCTTGGCTTGACTAATACATATTCTCGCTTACTGTCCTGTGTATGACCCCGGCTATCCTGTTGGCTACGTCTGCTCCAATCTCCACCTGGCATCTGACCTTGGCTTTGGACTGACTACTCTGTGGTCCTCTGCTACCCTGAAGGCCTGCATACCTCTCACAGGCGCCACCTGTCTGCAGACACCATTCCAGTGCATCAGTTGTGCTCCTGGGTGTACCTCTGACAAACACTTCTACAGGTGACCCATGCTACTTTGGGCCTGACTCCTTCTGTCCCATATCCAGGGGAGTCTGGAACTTAGCCGCAAGGGAAGCCCTCTCTTCATTGGCCTCTAACACCAGGTACATGATAATGCTGCACATGACTTCATAAGAGGGGTTCATCTCTATAGTTGAAAAGCACATGATCAAGGTCTTATATTAATACCAAAGATACTTCAATAACATTGCAGTGCTTACAGTATAAAGCTTCAGTATTTATTTGTAACAAAATACATAAAAGAATGTATCTCAGCTGCTCTGTATTTGGGTTTCTGACTTACAATAACTAGAGGAGGACCTCCCCTTCCTCAGAGGGAGATCGCCCCAAAACATGGCAGCTTCAGATTGTGATCCTGATCCCTTCCCCAGATGGGTGGCTCTTATCTCTGGTGCTGCTCTCACTTCTGACACCTAGGGAACGCTGACTCATCCCCCCAGCCAGGAATGGAACACTAAGGAATGGAGTTTCCTTATGCTTTGTCTGAGCTATTTCTCTCTGCTTGTGAGTGCAATACCTTGAGTTCTGTTTTATTAATAAATGGTGTTTTAAGTATTACACCATCAGGGCTCTTGGTGCTTCTTTCTTTGTGTTTTCTTGAATGATTGCTTTAAAAAATACATTAACACATTCCTTTATTCTTTTTACCTTCATCTTTAAATTAACATATACATCTTAGAGCACTGACCCTATGGACATTGATCCAGTTACTCAATGATGAATGCCAGATGTAAGATTTGTCTATGTGTGGCCAATTTACATTCCTTATTTTGTTTCCAATACTGGTACTTAATTAAAAGTGTGTGCTTTTTAATGATCATCACTATATGATCTATAACCAATAAATACATGATCAATAACCAATAAATACACCATAACAGTCACCGAAGGGAACCTGAAAACACTGTAATGAAATAAGTCACTGATGAAGCATCTAGTGTGTACCATATTAAAAACCTAGGACAATCTAAATATAATGTGAAGTGTTGCCCAACACATTGCTGTTTTTAGATATACATTACATTTCATTTAGCTTAAAGATTGATGTGCATTCACATCAATTTATTGTAACTAGCAGCTAGCAACAGGATATGGTTAACGCTCCAGCTGGTGTAGCTTTCATTAGCTATGCCTCATGCTCTGCTGGATCTGGGGAGGGGTAATAACATTATTCTACACTCTGTGATGCTTCAGTGGGCTCCAAAAACTGTACCTGTTTTTTAATTAAGAGTAAAATCTTTTAATTCAAACACTACTGTAACAATTATGAATATCTCATGCTGCAAAACAAACTAGTTAAAGCTAAAGTAATTCTCTTATTTGCCTGAATAACATTTCATGTAGAGTATACAATATTACACTGAGGAAGGCCCCCCTTTCAACTAAGCTTTAATGGAAGTCATTTTATTCATATTAAAGTTGGGCATACATACTTGTAGGCATCACTAACAGTTGGACATTGAATAATATTTACTGGAAAGTTGTTTCCTTTAAGGCCACCAGTAAAATACAAGATGGCAGTTCATGCGAATGGAGGAAAGAATATTTAACTTACTTTGGGAAACTTAGGACAGGTGTATATAAGGAAACTATTCTACAAGAAATGGTTTCAGGATATTTGTAGATTATTCAAAAAAAGTTGATGTGTCCATAATAGTGCAAAATGTATTAAAAAAAATACAATACAGTACAATTCTAAACTAGAATCCAGTTTGCCATTACACATCAAGAAGGGTTTTATAGCTTGGGCCTTGCTTCATAAGGAATTGTC